GTAAGTCCATTTCTTTCACCAGGTGGGGGAAGTTTTCTGTCATTATTTCTTCAAATAGGTTTCAATATCTTGCTCTCTCTCATCTTCTGGCACCCCTATAATTCTGATATTGGTACGCTTGAAGCTGTCCCAGAGGCTCCTTACACTATCCTCAAATTTTTGGATTCTTTTTTCATTTTGCTTTTCCGGTTGGGTGTTTTTTGCTTCCTCGCATTTCAAATCATTGACTTGATTCTTGCGCTCCTCTGGTCTGCTGTCGGGAGTCTGTATAATATTCGTTATTTCAGTCCATGTATGCTTAATTTCTAGTTGGTTCCCCAATATAACATCGAGGGTCTCATTAGTTTTCTTGTAGATCTCATTAAGTTTATCGGCGGCTTCTAAACAGTTCTTGAGAGACCTTAAAAGTGTGGTTCTGAACTCTATATCTTCCATTGACAATTTTGTCCTGTTTCTTTGTCTCCGCATTTTGTTATGCTTCCTTGGTGCACCCCCTAGTGGTCTTTGTGGGCAGTCTTATAGTTAAACCTTGATTGTTGTAGCTAATACCAGGGAGGGTTTGACCTCCAGGCTAAGTGGCTATGAGAATCAGCTGTGTCTGCAGTGAGAGAACTTCTGTCCTCTAGGGAGGTGCTAATCTAGCGTTTGCCTGAGGCTATCCGGCAAATGCCTGTGTGCAGGGCTTGGGCGGGGTGGGTCGCACAGGATCAAGAGGGTGGGCCGGAGAGAGCAGTTATGGCAGCTCTCAGTCCTGTCCCCAGGGGCTCTGCCTCTCTGAGTCCCAGCACCCGCTGCAAACCTCGAAGAGAAAGCTGCACTCACTCTGACCGAAGCCAGACAGTCCTGCTTCTCCCGTTTGAGTCTGGGTCCCTAAAGACTCGCCTGTATCTGGAGCTCAGAGTCTGCGACTCCCTCCCGATTGAAAGCGCCAACCGCGCCCTCCGCCGCCAGCCGTTCCGCGCACTCCGCATCTCAGAATTTGACTTCAGCACTGCGCCTCCTCTGAGTGTCCGTATGCGTTTCTCTTTCCTCCTAGTTGTAGGACTTCCACTCAGCCAGCGTTCCTGTGGTTCTGGGTGATGTCCGTTCCGTTTTTTAGTTTCACTTTTGAAGTAGTTGTTCAAGGCAGCAAACTCCGGCGTTAACCTATGCCGCCATCTTGGTTCTCCCAGTTCTTTTTTTCTTTTTATTCTGGGCCAGCCTTAGCTCTGAGGCTTGGCTCCAGCTCTTAGGCCTCCGCTGCTGAAAGCAGGTTTCTGGCTTTTGTTTACCTTCTGTATTTGAAACAATGTTGCGATCCTGCTGGCTGAAGCCCGCCGACTAAAGCAGGTTTCTGGGGTTTTGTTTAGCTTCTATATTTGTAACATAGTTGCTTAGAGTTGCAGCTCAGAGGCCAGCAGCGGCAGGCGGGGAACGTTGGAGTCCTCCGTCACTGAAGCAAGCAAGCCTCATGTTAGTTTCAAGCTGCTTGGCTGCCAGCTGCCATCTTGGCTGGCAGTTAATTTGCATATCGCCCTGATTAGCCAATGGGAAGGGTAGTGTACGCTAATTACCATGTTTCTCTTTTATTAGATAGGATGAACTGATATATTAAGGGTAATAGACATAATGTGTACAACTTAATGGTTCAAGAAAAATAATGTATATATATATATATATAAAAATTAGAGAGAATAAGGCAAATATGGAGAATGCTAACAAATGAGGAAACTGGGGGGCTAAATAAGTGTGCATGGTATTTTCAGCACTATCTTGTAAATCTGAATTTCACAGGTTTGAAATTGTTTCAAAATTTAAAAAAGTCTATTCACCATACTTTGTGATTTGTAACAGTTAATTTTTAAATCTATTATAAATTTTTACATCTCTTGGAATTTTATCCATTTAAAAATTTTCAGCAAATTAACCTATCAACAGATAAACAAAACAAAAAATTAATCTAATCCTGATCCCATTCCATTTTCACTCTGTTTTCCTCTAACTTTTCCAGAGCCTGAACAATCAAGTTTCCAAAGTCCTTTTAGGAATCTTCTTCATTTCTCATACTGTCAAAATATTTCAGGTATAAAAGCAATATAAAACATAAATACAACTAAGCCTCCTATATATAGATGCCCAATCTGAGGATAGCAGTTTATCATTATATAAGATGTTTATTGGCTTATTCTGGTAAGGAAACTATTTATAATTTGCTAGATTTTTTCTTTTATCTTTTAAAGGCACAAATAGGTGCTTAATTTTATTAAATTGCACTTTTTTGCATATATTGAAATGGATGTACAATTTTCCCCTTTCATCTGTAAATATGCTAATTGATTTTCTAATGTTAAACTTAAAACCTTGTGATGTTAAACGTATAATCTTGCAAGTCCCAAGATATACCTTTCTTTGAATTTAAAATATTATATTCAGTTTATTTAAAACTTTTTTCACCTATGTTCATAAGTACCCTTTCACATGCTGTCTTAATCTGGTTCCTGGGGGTTATAATTTTGCTAGCCTCATAAAATCAGTTGGGAAGTGTTCCCTCGTTACCTTATCTGTAATCATTTAATAGTAGCTAAAATGATCTGTTCTTTGAATGCTTGCGAAGTTCAATCTGTAAGGTTACCTTTTTTTTTTTTTTCAGATGGATGAGAGAGGTTAAATTTTCAGCTATTTATATAATCACTTCCATTATTTTTAGATCTATTCAAGTTTTTCATTTCTCCTTAGGGAAACTGGGTAAATTGTTTTTATTTTTTCCACTAGGAAATTGTCTATTTCACACAAGTTTTCCAATTTACTGGCATAAAATTGTTCATATTCAAATTGTGTTAGATTGCAGAAATATCTACAATTCCCCTTCTTATATCCGTGCCTCCAGGTAGTCTGGTTCTGGGTGTGGCTGTGTAACTTGCTTTGGCAATGGGACATAATGCACATGGACTTATACATCTGAGCATATCCTTTCTTGCTGCTCTTACAATTCTTTTTTTATTTTTTTTTATTTTTATTTTTTATTTTTTTTATTGCTTAAAGTATTACAAAGGGTATTACATATGTGTCCATTTTATCCCCCCGCCCTAGACAGTCCCCTAGCCTCCCCTATCCCCCAATGTCTTATGTCCACTGGTTATGCTTATATGCATGCATACAAGTCCTTTAGTTGATCTCTTACCCCCCTACCTCCTGCCCCGCAACCCTCCCCGGCCTTCCTGCTGCAGTTTGACAATCTGTTTGAGGCAGCTCTGCCTCTGAATCTATTATTGTTCAAAAGTTTATAATGGTCTCTATTATCCATGAATGAGTGAGATCATGTGGTATTTTTCCTTCATTGACTGGCTTATTTCACTTAGCATAATGCTCTCCAGTTCCATCCATGACGTTGCAAATGGTAAGAGTTCCTTCCTTTTTACAGCAGCATAGTATTCCATCGTGTAGATGTACCACAGTTTTCTAATCCATTCATCTACTGATGGGCACTTAGGCTGTTTCCAGATCTTAGCTATGGTGAATTGTGCTGCTATGAACATAGGGGTGCATATATCCTTTCTGATTGGTGTTTCTGGTTTCTTGGGATATATTCCTAGAAGTGGGATCACAGGGTCAAATGATCCCACCATGTGATCAACACTGTGCTAGCCTGCTGAAGGATGAAGCTATGTGGAGGACAACCAAGGTCCCAGCCAATAGCCAGAAACTTGAGTGAGAGTATCTTAGATCATCTAGTCACCAACTAACCTACCAGCTGACCAGAGATGAAATGAGGGAGCCCACAGAGCTCAGTTAAATTGGCCCAGACCATAAGAACCACTATGCCAACCCACAGAATTATTAGCTTAATAAAATGGCTATAGTTTTAAGCCACTTAGTTTTGGAGTGGTTTATTATGCAGCAAAAACTAAGTGATGTACTAATATTTTAAACTTATGCTACTTATAAATTACTGTGCCTTTTAAATTCCTATTATTTGTTCTCTCTACTTGCTACAAATTGCTTTTGTGAAATAGTACTTTAACTGTATTCCACAGGTTCCAACATGTATTATTTTTCCTATTGTTTTGGGTATTCCTAATTTCTATTAGAATCTCTTTGATGCCCAAGGTACTTAGAAGTGCTTTATTTTTCATAATTATGAAGTTTTTGTAACTATCTCATTCACTGATTTCTAATTTAATTGTACTGTGATCAGAGAAAGCAGTCTGTACAATACTCTGAAATTAGCTGACATTTTTTTATACCTAAGTTTCCTGAATTTTGTCAGTCCACAATGTAGGCCAAAGGAAATACCTAATAGTGTCTTATCAAGTAGTTAAGTCCAAACAACTTAATAGTCACTTTTTGGGGGGTGGGGGAGGGTGAAATAACAAAAAAATTGAAAACAAGTTTTTATTTCTTTTAGACAAAATATGCGATTGAAAGGAATACAGTGTAATCTAATGCTTAAAAATTATGAACTAACTCAAAATCTAATAGTTCTGTGGTATCTGAATGATGTTAAATATCAATATTACTCTCAAAATTCAGAATATTCCGAAGTGTCCTTTTAAGTTCACTACGGAGCCCCGTGGTACATGTTTGGGAACTATAGCTTTATATTATCACAAAATCGACTTTCAAATATGCATGAGTTTTTTCTTTTTTAATTAAATTTATTGGGGTGACAATGGTTAATAAGATCATATAGGTTTCAAGTGTACTTTTCTATGATACATGATCTGTATATTGCATGTGCACCCACCACCAAAGTCAAATCATCTTCCATCACCATAAATGTGGCCCCCTTTACTCTTCACTACCTCCCCACTTCCCTCTGTTACCATATAGTCATCTGTGTCTATGGGTTTCAGTTTTATATCCCACATGAGTGAAATCATATGTTCTGACCATATGATAGCTTTTTCTGACTTATTTCATTTAAGCATAATATTCTCAAGCTCCATCCATGTTGTTGTAAATGGCTGTATTACATCCTTTCTTAGGGCTGAGTAGTATTCCATAGTATATAGTATATGTACCACGTCTTCTTTATCCAGTCCTCTATGGAAGGACACTTGGGTTGTCTCCATGTCTTGGGCACCATGAATAATGCTGAAATGAACACAGGGGTGCATATATCATTGTGAGTAAATGTTTTCAAGGTTTTGGGGTAGATACTCAGAAGAGGGATTGCTGGGTCATATGGTAATTGTATTCTTAATTTTTTTAGGAACTGACCATACTTTTTTCCACAGTGGCTGCAAAGGTTTACATTCCCACCACCAGTGAATGAGGGTTCCTTCTTCTCAACAATCTCTCCAACACCTGTTATTACTTGTCTTATTGATAATACATTCTAACAGGCATAAGATGGTATCATTGTAGTTTTTATTTGCATTTCCATAATAGCTAGTGAAGTTGGACAACTTTTCATATATCTGTTGGCCATTTGCATAACTTCTTGGGAGATATGTCTATTCATGTCCTCTGCATTTTTAAATTGTTATTTTTTAAAAATTAAATTGTTTGGTGTTGAGTTGTATGAGTTCTTTATGTATTTTGGATATTAACCCCTGTTGGAGCTATTACTTGCAGATATCATTCCCATTTGGTTGGTTGCCTTTTTATTTTGTTGACAGTTTGTTTTGCTGTGCAGCTTTTTATATAGGCCCATTAATTTATTTTTACCTTTACATCCCTTGCCTTTGGGGTCAAATTCATAAAATGTTCTCTAAGACCAAGGTCCATAAGCTCAGGGCCTATGTTTTCTTCTATATAATTGTTCCAGATCTTATACTTAGGTCTTTGTTCTATTTTGAATTAATTTTTGTACATGGGGACAAACTATAATCTAATTTCATTCTTTTGCATGTGACTTTTCTTTTTTAATTAAAAATATATTTTTTCTGATTTCAGAGAGGAAGGGAGAGGGAAAGAGAAATAGAAGCATCAATGATGAGAGAGAATCACTGATCAGATGTCTCCTGCATACTCCACACCGCAGACTGAGCCTGCAACCAGGACATATGCCCTGACAGGGAATAGAACCGTGATTTCCTGGTTCATAGGTTGACACGCAACCATTGAGCCATGCTTTTCAATTTTCCCAGCACCATTTACTTAAGAGACTACTTTTCTCCACTGTGTTTTTGGCTCCTTGGTCATAAATTATTGCCCATATACATGCAATTTTATTTCTAGATTCTCAATTTTGTTCCATTGGTCTGTGTGTCTGTTTTTCTGCCAATTCCATGCTGTTTTGATTATTGTAGTTCTGTAGTATAATTTGAAGTCAGGAAGTGCTGATACCTCCACCTTTGTTCTTTTGTCTCAGGACTGCTTTGGCTATTCAGGGTCTTCTGTGGTTTCACACAGATGTAATATGGCCATTTAAATTATGTTGATTCTTCCATCCATGAACACAAAATATCTTTCCATTTCATTGTGTCTTTTTTTGTTTGTTTAATCCTCACCTGAGGATTTTTTTTCCATTGATTTTTTAGAGAAAGAGGGGGGGGGGGGAGAGAGAGAGAGAGAGAGAGAGAGAGAGAGAGAGAGAGAGAGAGAGAGAAACAGACAGACACATCATCAATTGGTTGTCTCCGACTGGGACTGGGGATCAAACCTGAAACCGAGGTACATGTCCTTGACTGGGAATTGAACTCAAGACCATTTGGAGCATGGGCTCACACTCTAATCCAGGGGTCCTCAAACTTTTTAAACAGGGGGCCAGTTCACTGTCCCTCAGACTGTTGGAGGGCCGGACTATAGTTTTTAAAAAAACTATGAACAAATTCCTATGCACACTGCACTTATCTTATTTTGAAATAAAAAAACAAAACGGGAACAAATACAATATTTGTATTTGCATGTGGCCCGCGGGCCGTAGTTTGAGGACCCCTGCTCTAATCACTGAGCAAAACCAGCCAGGGCATCGTTGTGTCTTTTTCAATCTCTTTTAATAATGCTTTGTAGTTTTAGTACATAGGTCCTTCACATCCTTCGTCAAGTTTATTCCTAGGTATTTTATTCTATTTGTTGCAATTGCAAAAGGAATTATTTTTTCCATTTCTATTCTGAAGTTTCATTGTTAGTATACAGGAATGAAATCCTCACCAAGAAAGAGAGAAAGACACACACACACACACACACACACACACACACACACACACAGAAACATTGATCATTTACCTTTCATATATTCCCGGACCAGGAATCAAACCCTTAACCCAGGTATGTGCCCTGACCAGGAATTGAACCAGCAACTTTGGTGCACAGGGCAATGCTCAACTTACTGAACTACTCTGGCCAGGCAGCAGTGATTTTATACATTGATTGTTGTGTTCTGCAACTTTACTATATTGATTGTTTCTAATAGTTTCTTGGTGGAGTCTTTAGGGTTTTCTATATACAGAATCATGTCATCTGCAAAAAGTGAATTTTGAAATGTGTTTAATAATACTTGGAAATTGCTATTTAACTTTTCTATCTCTCATTAATTGTTTATTTATTACAAGAAAATCTCTATAATGATTAAGTCTTTGACAAATTACTCCTTGTAATTTTTTTATATATACTTGTAATTTTTGCCTTGTATATACTTGGGCATGTTTAGTAGGCATATACAAGTTTAGAGTTATTACAACTTCTTGGTAAATTGTTTTTTAATAAAAAATTAAATAATGATCCCTGCATTTGAATTAAAAACAACAGGCTAAAATATCCTAAGGCATGAAAATCACATTTTACATACTTTAACCAAAAAATATGTAAAAGCCAAGGAAAGATAATCCCTGGGCAGGTTTCTCATGATTTGACTAATCATTAAAGGAGGCATTGTTAAAACCACTATCTTACACTGTCCCTTTATTTGACAGGCTAGATATTTCCACCCGCCTAGAGACTATACTACATACAATAAATTCAGCATCCATAAAAGGTTTCTTGTTCTTTTGTCAAGTGGGAGGGGGGCTCAGACATATGGCAACTAGCCTAGTTTGAACACCCACCTTACACACACACACACACACACACACACACACACACGATCCATTTCTTAAGTTATTTTAAAAATCCATTATTACTATATTATCCATGTATGTATTTAATCCTTTTTAGATCTTCTGTTTTCTGAACCTCACAAAATTGACACTTTGTAGATCAAAAAGATTAATTATGGGAAAATTCTTAGGACTCAATTTTTGGAATTAACAAATTCTGTTATTCACCTATACATAATGTTCTTTTTTATTCCCAAATTTCTCTTTCCATCTTGAAAAAGTGACTTGTAATCCTATACCTAAATTTGTATAACAGATCAGTAGTCACTTCTTATGCATGTTATGAAAAGGATAGTTATTTATTAGCCCCATTTCAAACTTGAAATAAATAATTAAATTTGTTTTTATCCAGTAATACCCTCATTGTCTTAAATCCTTACCTGGTTTTAGTTCCTATATTAAAATCTTTATTTTATAGATGAGTAAATGAGGACATAGAAAACCTGGCTTAATTATATTCACCCACAAATTTTACATGTTATATATACATTTTGGGCCCTCTGCTCAATGTGTTCTACTTTTTTTAAAAAAAATTTTTTAAAAAATTGATTTCAGAGTGATTGAGGAAAAGCGAAAGAGGGAGAAAGGGAAGGAGAGAGGGGAAGAGAGAGAAACATTAATTTGTTGTTCCACTTATTTAGACATTCATTGGTTGATTCTTGTATGTGCCCTGATCGAGGATCAAACCTGCAACCTTGGCATATACAACTAAGTTACTCGGCCAGAGCTCAATGTGTTATACTTTGATATTAAAACTTAAAAAAAATACTACTCGTTCATCAATCATGTAAAAATCTGAAAACCAAACACAAATTATTTTTCCTGCAGGATCTCATCAAATAGCGGCATTTTTTAATTATAATTTACTAACTCAGATATTTTTAATTGAAAATTTTATTGATATAATTGTAAATTTGCATACATTTTTAAGAAGCAATGCAGAATCTCTTGCACACTTGCCCCAGATTCCCCTAATGGCAACATTTTGCAAAATTATAGTAGTCATGTGCCACATTATGACATTTTGTTCAACAATGGACCACATATGTGATTGTGGTCCCACAAGATTATTAAGAAGATGAAAAATTCCTGTCACTTAGTGATGTAATAGGTGTTGTAATGCAATGCATTACTCACATATTTGTGGTGATGCTGTTGTAAAAAAAAAAAATTACTGTGCTGGTAGTCATAAAAGGTATAAGCATATACACAGTGGTCTGAGGTGACCTCTGAAAATGGTTCCTAGCCACTTGATCCACAAAACCCCACAAAATCATGCAAATCAAGAGGCTCAAATTTTTGTGTTCACTTTAAGAACACTTGTGAAGCCCTGGTTGGTGGCTCAACACTGTCTCATGCACCAAAAAGTTGTTGGTTCGATTCCTGGTCAGGGTACATGCCCAGTTTGTGGGTTCCATACCCAGCAGGAAGCAGTCAATCAATGTTTCTTTTCCTTTCCCTTCCTCTCTCTCTCTCTCTCTCTCTCTCTCTCTCTCTCAAATCGATTTTAAAAATATTGTGTGTGTGTATGTATGTGTGTGTGTGTGTGTGTGTGTGTGTATAGATAGACAGATAGATAGATAGATAGATAGATATATTTGTGAAACTGACCAGGCCATCAAGGTATGTATATTTGAAAAGACACTGAGTATCTGAATGATGTCACTTTATTTTATTATTTTTCCCAGTTGCCTCCAATACACACCTCACCTGGGATCAAACCCACAACCTAGGTATGTGCCCTGACCAAAATTGAACCTGCAACCTTTTGGTACATGGAACTATGTTCCAACCAACTGAGTCACCCAGCCAGGGCTAAATATGTGCCCTTTTTATTTGGTTGTCAGTTCACATGCTCCACTCAAGGACAACATGGGCTGACAGGGCACTCTGTCTTTGTTCTGACCATTAATGCCTGAACACATTCTCTGTCTCACTTGGATGTAATTCCACAGTCAAGTACACTTCCAGCCAGATTATTATTATTATTTAAATCTTCATTGTTGAAAAGTATTACATATGTCCCCCTTTAAACCCCAGTGACCCCTTCTA